AATATGACTGATATGTTAAAAACATGTAAGTCAACATTTGTGCTGAATTACTTGCTTTGCTGCAGATAAATAAACATATTATTCGGCCAGTTTAGCATTCATGTTAATAGATCATAGGAAATGATCACGCAATTGTTTGACATTTTCCCTGTAACTAAAGCCACTCAGATAAAAACAGTACTTTTCCATCCCTCAGTAATTAGCTGCATCTATCACAGTATCCTGCCAGGCTTGGGCTGTGGTTAAGTTAAGCACCCCGGACAATCTATGGGCTTCCATATTAAGATAGAAAGCACTAATATTGGTTTCCGTTATGAGGATGTGTTTGTAGTGAGTCTGTAAGAATAGAAATAATCAAATCTTTGATCAACATTAAAATCTATCCCTATTTTAAACATCACCACTACTTTAATTTGATGAATATAAGCCAAGGTAAGCATGTGATCGAGTAGAACAATATTCTTTGTTTTCCTCTTTAATTTAATCAGCGTCTTGGCAGGCAGCGGCTTGGCAGGCAGCAGCGATGAAGGCCACCCAGAATAATAACTGCAAGTATTATTCTGTAAAAGCTCTTCGTATCCTTCTCTCCTCTCCACTACACTACAGTTAAGAGCACTTCAAGCTCACACAGCATAAGTCACTTTTATAACACCGGGGCTGGTCCAATGTGGGAGTGTGGGGAGCTCTTGTGTAAACTGACATTTATTGCACTTTTTATTTACAAGCTTTAAACTTTACCTTGAGGAGAAGATAACATTGAAGAAGGTCAAATTTAGATGTCTTCTACAAAGGATTTGATCCACGTTTGCTATATTTTACTTCAGATGTATGGTCTGAAAAAATGATACGTGCTGTGTGATGTAGTTTTCACTAGTGTTGTGCTGGATTGTATAGTAAACCACGATAGAAGAGATCTTGAAAGTGAATGCAGTACAGTTGTCAATGTATTGTCTCCATTTAACTGATGGTTTTCTCTGTTTACTGGGAAAATTGGGTAATTACTCTAAGCAAAAAATGGGCTAATAATGCTAATGCTAATAATGCTAATGCGAGCAAATAAAATGGCGGCAAAATCCCAGGAACTATCGGAACTATTCCTGGGAAAAGTACTCCAGTGTGAAAGCGCCTATTGTATGCAGGTAAACAGTCCCTCTGGAGAGAAAAAGAGGTCGAATGCATTGGCCTTAAAGGTCCCATGTCATGGCCATTTCTACTGATCATAATTCCATTGTTGAGGTCTACTAGAATAGATTTATATAACCCAGCCCGAACACACACACACACCCGCAGCCTGGCTGGGAGTTTGTGTGTGTGTTCACACACCGACTCACAGCCTCCCGCCGTCTCAGGGAGGAGAAATCGGCGGAGCTGCAGCTGAGAAAAGATTAAGTGTGTGTGTGTGTGTGTGTGTGAGGAAGTCCGCGGATTGGTCAATTTGGACCAATCCACAGACTTAACGTAACGGCTCCGCGGACGTAACGTAACGGCTCCACGAATTGGTCCATTTGGGTATGGGCACGTCACTGTACCCAGGAAGAAAAAGAGAAATCTCCAACGAGGCATTCTGGGGCAGCATAGACAGGTATTTTCTGTGTTAGAGTTTTACTCGCTACAGGGTGTACTTTGAGGGTTTGTGACTTTGCAGACCGTTTACATGCAGAAAAACCTTCATAAGGGTACGGGTAATAACCGGAAAAGCATGACATGGGACCTTTAATGCAATTACTGGAACCGATGGGCTATTGTCTGACAGTGATTTAGCTTTCTATTAGCCAAATTAGCTTGTAAAACGTCCCTCGTCTCCAAATCAATTCTCAAGTTTCAAGTTGCTAATTGGACTGTAAACAATGAGTAGTGAACGGGAGGGAAGTCTTGGCCCGGATAGAAACCCTAATTACTGTCCCTTGACTGCAGTGGTTATCACCGTCTGACCAATTGGTTACAAGCTTGGTGGGAAATAAACCTGAGGTGGCACTGCAGGATGTTCCAATTGTTGATGCTGTTGAGATATCCGCTGTGGTGTTGCCTTGCAGTGAAAATGTCATTAAAGTTACTAATGGCGCATTTCCACTACAGCGCGGAGCGCGGTTTAAGCGTGCCGTGCCCGGCCCGTTTTTGGTTGCGTTTCCACTAGGCGTAGTTCCGGCTAGCGGGTACTTTTTCACAGTTGTTCTGGCTCTCCAAAATCGAGGTTCTTTCCGTGCCAACAAGTATGCTAAACTACTGAGAGAATCGCTGGCAACTACAACAAAATGAACATATTTTACCGTGATTTCAATGTAATACACGTTTCAAAATGATGTCGAAGTAACAACATACTGACACCGGTTAGTAAAAACCATGAATTAATGCTTTGACAAGTCTGCAGACAGACGGCAGGCGAAAAACCTTTTAAAATGCGTGTTTTCTAAATGGAGATCGGCTAAGCTCCATTTAGATATGATCCGACAGTCCACACTCACAACAACGGCCTATACAGACATAAATAAAGCAGCGACTGTATTCGCCATGACACACGCAGTCTGTGGTTTGTACTTGTTTAACTTTTGTCTAGTTTCTGAACAGATATGAGGAGCTGTGAGCTCTGAGGGCTAACAGCTAACGCCTAACGGCTGATGTTGGTTTTGTGTTTCGCATGGAAGATGACGTCACGGCTCCGCCTACACTGCGTTACTATAGATACTACCCCAGTTCCTAAACTGTAATGGAAACGCAGCATAAAGTGAGCCTGGCCTAACAAGGCCTAACTATACCGTACTAAGCAGAGTGAGGCCCTGCAGTGGAAAAGCGCCATTACTGTCCAGTCTGAGAGCATCCCGTGGCTCCTCACTACTATACCATGTGACTGAAGGATTTTGAGTGGATCATTATTTACGGTGTGGGGATAAGCATATTGCCCTCCTCTCATCAGCTATCATCTCCTCTGGGCAGACAGGGGCTGAGCCAGCCAAAGCAGCACGGATTGCAAGCCTGCTGTTGACCTACTTACTGCTGAACCGACTCTTTGCTCATTTCCACTGTGGAAATAAAATTAGGAGTAATTACACAGCCCGCCTCCCGGTGTTCTGCTAAAGCCGCTACGCTGCTTGATGGACTGAGCATCGCTGGCACTAAAAAGGTCAAGGACGGTTATTTGAAATAATCACACACTTATTCTGTTAATGGGGGGAGAAGGTGCTCTAGTCTGGAAATGTGATACTGTGATCCTTACTTCTGCCTTCTTGATATTCTTCTTATGTAGCTGTGCTTCCTTGTTCGGATCCAAGAATAATGTTCAGACCACAGAGGAGTTACCGATAAACTCTGACACAACACCACACACTATAGATAACACTGTGAGCATGCTGCTGGAGAAACTGCTGCTGAGATTAAATGGCTAATCTGCCAGTGCCCTGCTTTGATTCATGTTGGTTTAATATTTGGCAATGAGGGATAGTTATTACTTGAAGGTAACCTATTATGCAAAATCCACTTTTTCATGTATTTTATACATAAACATGTGTCCCCTCCGTGTAAAGAGATTCTGAAAGTTTCAGAAAAAAGATTCACTCACTTTTTGTCCTGATCCATTTACTGTATAAAAAAACTGTGTGAAAATGAGCTGATCAGATTTTGGCCACTTGATGATGTCATAGTGATTTTTTGGCTTGTGTAACCATTAGCCAATCACCAACCAAGGTAACCACTGAATCCGCTTCAAGACACGGGTACTGGCCTACCTTGCTCTAGTACTAGCCTCCAGCACGTGCACTTCCCTTTGCATCAGCCAATCGGTTTGCTATCTTGGCTTTATAACAGTGACACAAGCTCCCCTTAGAGATCAGAGATCCCCTTCAGGACTGCTGGAAGTCTACACATCTTCCATTCATTGCAAACAAATTCAAAGATATGTTGTTGTACTTAAGAGGTTTAGTTCATTTGAAACTAATGCACCAGCACTTAAAATGGTTAGGCTTATTTGAAGCTAATGTACCTGCAGGGTCCTTGCTGTTCTGAGTCGGTCTCATCATGGTTCATTGATTCCACTTTTAAAAAGCATCAACTTAATGCAACATATGTTTAAGGTTGTGTCTCCATGATCCATCCCAAACAAAGAAGAGTGGACTCTCACTCAATTGTCCCTACAGGTTCCCTTACAGTCAACATGGTGGCCAAGATAACAAAAACAGGAAATTACTCATCTTTGTGACTTACTTCAGTGTATCATTACATATCAGGTATTGAATCAATCTACAGAACTTGTTTAAAACTTACAATAAGTCATTTTTTCCAATAACTGTGAATCACCACTACCTTGAGTGTAGCCATAAATATGCATAAGTAGTATGCAAGATTAGCTGTGGACAGACAGGCACTGACACATATGCAGACACACAAGCAAACGCATGGTCTCCGCCAGGCTTACCCGGAGAAGAGATAATAATATGATATAACTTATAAGAACAAAACCATTCTACATAATGCATAGTTTTCAGTCTCAGTGGTTGAGACATGCAAGTTAGCTTGGCATGCTTGTAGCTGTTCTTGTTAGCCAATCGTCACAATACCCTTTCTGTGCCTGCTAAGGCTTCGGTCGCTTGTGTTCAGACCATGGATGTATAAAGAGAACTGGAACAGCAGAACCCCGTTCATTCCTATGAAAGTTGGCGGCCAAGAACAAAATGGCTTGAATTTACCCCGATCTTGGCCAATGGAGCATGCGCACTTGTGTATTGCATCACAGCCAAATTTGGCTCAATCAAGTTAATGGAGAGAGAAAAAAACTCTGGATCGGCTTTTAGAGAATTTTAAATAAGGGCTATAAAAGTGTCCATACGCGGTAGTTGATTTAGTTAAAATATCTGCTGATTTACACACGTCTCTTTCCCAATGTATGTCAATTGAAAAAAGTGTCCAATGACATCACAAAGTGATGCAGAAGTTGTAATTCTACCGTTTGGCCACTATGCAAATCTGCTTCAACGTCGGGCGCACTCCCTGGGGGCTTGGTTCAGACTTACTTGTCCTGTGTAGGCGAAGTCCAAAGCGTGCTTCAGTCCAACGCTGGTCACTCCTTGCAGAGTTACTTCGTCTGCCTCACTCTCCACCATACACAAGCTGAACATAGCCTGATGAAACACAAACATGGAGATTAGCCGAGGGAGACATGGCATTAAAAAGATGACCAATAATCACAGCGATTGAAGGTAAATCCAATCCAGCTTTGTTTTTCTCTCTCTAATGTTCACTCTGTAGGACGATCATATCATATTTGTGAGCTGTTACCGCGTTAACAGGAAGATAAATCGTTTTTGCGTTCTGAAAACAGCATCACAGTCAATCATAGCGTGCCAGACGCAACATCCTAGAGCCCTTCTGTATTGATTCTCCTGCCTTGGCCCCGGAGGGCAGCAGAAATAAATAGCACAACCAGTACTTTCTGTTAGACAGCCTTTCTATCTTTCTGTCCCTCTGTCACAAACACACACAAACACACACAGCATCTGCAGTGTGTCCCCGCTGTGTGTGAGTCCAGCTTGCTGCACGCTAATCAAAGGTATTGACCGGTGTCACACCATGAGGGGACGACCGAGCCATTGATCAGCAGCAGCAGCAGCGTGGAGGGGAGAGGGAAAGGAGGGTCAACTGTAGCCAAGATCAACTCAACCTGCTTTCTATGAGAGACAGCCGTGCTACCAAGCTTTATAAGGGTTAGAGTTTAGATTTATTTTCCACAAGATCGAATATAAAAAAGTGAATTTACTCAAGTACTCTAATTATGTTCAATTATGAGGTACCTGAGTATTTCTCTCTTTTCATGCCACTTACTCTTTACTCTTTTACGAGTTAAGATTTTAAGAGATTAATTATAAGGTACATTTTCAAAGGATATTTTCATGTTTCCAACAACTCAAATGATGTGGTTTTGGTTTGTGGCAGTGGTTTTCCTTTTAAAAAGGGGCCCTATTATGCTTTTCAGGGTTGTGTTATATTGGTTTCCATGCATGTAAATGGTCTGCAAAGGCTAAAATCCCCAAATCGCTTTCTGAACATTAAAGCATGGAGACATGTCACAATAGAGACACTAAATACAAATGAACCTGAACATTTGCAGAATATGTCCTCTTTGATTACTTTAATATATTTCATAATAAATACATCATTTTCAGGTTTGGACTGTGCTTTGGCTTTTTTTTTAAGTGTGAATGTGTCACTTTTCCCTCTGTGTAATTTGAATAGCATGTCTCAGTATTTTCAGAGTGAGTTTGAACAAAGCAATCGGTCTTATGTTTATAAATCTTATTTGATCTTTTATTGGAAATTCTTATTTTTTATATTATATACTACATTTTATTTTATTTACCTTAGTGTGGAATTCATTCTATAATGGAACAACTGTCACAAAAAACAATTTCCCCCTTGGGTTATTTGTTTTGATTCGGATTCTGATAACATAACAGTCAGTCCATTCTCCTGATCATACTTTCACATACACGTATTTGCACTGTGTGGTTTCAGTACTTTTAATAGGCTACAGCTCTTCTCCTCTGGCTTGTAATGGGGAAAGAACATTCAAAAAGCTTTCAAAAACAAACCCAGCTGCTGTAGAGAGTTTCTTTCCCCACAGTTCCTTTGCCTCAGGTTAGTGATTTAACTAACTTGCCATTTCACATATCTTTTTAATCGCAGTAGCAGTTTGTAGCGCAGTTTGTAGCGCAGTCACTCCGCGCTATCTCTGCTCAGAGACAGTGTGTAACAGCGTTAGAAGCTTGGCAGGGCCTCAGGCTGGCCAGTTATCGCAGGATCTCTTTGTCATGAAAACGACATTCACTCCTCCAGAAACTCCTCCAAATCTTCATGATTCATAGCACCCATGAACAAAGCAACAACCCCCTTCCCTCGGGGATGGCCGCTCTTTATTGCAAGGGTGATGTGTGAGGCAGGGTCAACTCGAGGCAATGCTCAGTTTTGACCAAAGCCTGCACATCTCTCCTCGGCCTTGTTGATTCACCAGTGTGCTAATTAAAGATCCAATGGTCCATTGAGCACATGGCCTGTGAATAAACCTGAGGTGTGACGGGAGCTTAGCTGTGGTCAATGTGTACATGAGGAAGTCAAAAAAGGAGAGCGCATGTGATGGAGAAACTGCTTGATGTGCAGTGTGTGAGCTCAGAGGGTGAATGAGGGCACCATGAGGGTGTTCACAGAGTTGCCCGCCTCCAGTGCGCACGCTCCTGACCTTGGCGGAGGAGCTGAGGGAGCGCTGGTGATGACAGATGGCTCCTTGGACTCGGGATATGGATCAAGCGCAGAGACACTTTGCGCCTAAGAGCCCCGCGCGCTACAGTCCTCTCACATGGTGCTGCAGTGCGGGTGCAGCGCCACAGTTAGCCTGTCCTGCCAACGCAATTTATGTGTATAGACGTGTGACTCGCCATGATACATTACAACATTCAGGGAGGTTGCTTTCATGTCTAGGTGAAATATTTTTGCTCTAAGGGCGTGTGGCTATTTACAGGCAGGTTTCTTCAAATAAAATCCTGACATAGTACATGAAAAGCATTTCAGATAAAAGGGTTCTGACCGAAGCTGCTGCTGCTTGTATTTTGTCCCGTAGCATAAAAATCTGAGTTCACAAGGGTGTATACAAATAAAATAATAATGTAAGTGGTTCACCCCGGAAAGTAATGACTAGGGCTGGACAATATATTAACATCTTTTTGACAATGTGATAAAAGACTAGATAGCCAATATAAGTGTTTCATAGTGGTGTCACTATGTCATGGAAGTAAACAAAGGAGTCCAATGGATGTGTTTTAGGTAGGGGGGAGTGTGTGGGAGAGAAACTCCCTCTGGAGGGAACACAGGGATTTTAGCCTTTGCAGAACATTTACATACACAAACACCTATACACTCTACAAGAAAGGGAAACCCCCAAAAAGCATAACAAGGCCCCTAAAAAGGGATTATTGTTATGACAACAGCTTCAGATAACTCTAGGATGCTTTAAAAAAGTGGAAGGTACAAGGGTTGTGTGAAATCATCAACAAACACATTTAGATAACTTAATTATGTGCAGAACCAGGGCTCGTTCTTTCTATGAGAAACAAGTGTATTTGACTGTTTCAATATTACAACAAATAGATAACATTTGCAAACCATAGATAGCACATGTTGTTTATTTAATGCTACAAATAAAACAAGTTTGTATGAAATATGTATTCATTATATAGTTTAGTTTGTGTGTTCAAAAATATATGAAGGGAAAATCCACACAATTTCATTTTGGGATGGGGCACTAAATGTGGTACTGAATGTCTTTCCACTTGGTCATATTACACAAAATAACCCACTTGTGGATTGATTTACATTATAACATTAACAAATCAAGCTTCACTATAAGTCTCTGAGGACTGATCAGCTGCAAGTGATATGGCAGAAATACTCTAAAGTCAAGAAAATACAGGCAAAAGCATTGTTTCTCATGCACTGGTACATTTTGAGATTTTGTTAAAATAGAAACAAATCATTATCTCAATGTATTTAATCAATCAGGGAAGTTTTATGGAGTCTATTCATTACATGTTTGACCCCATATAATTATCTTCATAAATAGGTTAACAATAACAGAGTTCTATGTGGTACAGATTGTACATACATCGTCTCCAAGACAATAATAGCTTTTGATACGAGTTCTGTCCTGCCTGCAGGGCTAGCAGAAAATTATTTCTCTTCAGGAAAAGCAAAGAAAGATCCTGTGTGTGTGTGTGTGTGTGTGTGTGTGTGTGTGTGTGTGTGTGTGTGTGTGTGTGTGTGTGTGTGTGTGTGTGTGTGTGTGTGTGTGTGTGTGTGTGTGTGTGTGTGTGTGTGTGTGTGTGTGGTGTGTGTGTGTGTGTGTGTGTGTGTGTGTGTGTGTGTGTGTGTGTGTGTGTGTGTGTGTGCGTGACTGATTTGTCCAAAAACTCCCCCGAGGAGACATCCAGACATCTTAGCAATGTGACGACATTGGAAGAGGCAGCTGACACATTCAGGACGAGTCCCAGGTAAACAACTCACGCTTGGTCAGGTATTTGATTACGATCACTCGTGTCCCCTGGCTAAGATAATGTGCTATAATCACTGCTACGTGATAAACCAACAGACCCAGAGACAGAGAGAAAACAGGCACTGTTCACGACACAGGGCTACTTCATCTCCTCTGTAAATGAGCTACATGAAACCCAGGAGTGGAGTCAGATGACAAACTGATGATAATGCTGTTAAACCTTGACAGGGGAACAAGAGAACGGAGTGAGTTTTATTGCTTACTGTAACAGGCTGATGCAATAATCTGAGGGCTGGAACAACAATGTTGTTCGCCACTCAGCTGGGACTTGAAATAGCGGCGTCGAACAAAAGTAGAACAAAAGTAAAGAAAAGGAGGAGAGGAGTGTGACTCGTCCACCCTAGTGAAAACAACCTACAAGTAATCCCTAAGCAACTTGGACATATTTAATCTGCCTCTCATTTTCAAGAGGGATTATTTTGTTCTACTTCCTGATCTGCTCAGTGTCCCTAAATCAAATCTCATCTGGGCCCTTTTCCCCGTGCGGCCCATCTCAGCAAATCTCTGACGGTTTGGCTGTCTAACAGCAGGAGTCTACATACCGCTACCTCTGTGCTATTACTTGAATCAGACTGAAATCTCAGCAAGGGACCAGCAAACACTAGAGACTGATTACTCTCATTGTTTGAAATTTTAAAGTGGTGTTCCTCCAAGACATTTGCTTGGCAGCAAAGCAGAGGCTCTTGAAACAGCATTTAGAACATTGTGGGAGCATAAAGTCCTCCGTTAATAATCTGTGCTAATAGAGTTAGATGAGTAAGACAGGTTTTCTGGCAGTTTCAACAATCTAACAGCTCTGAAGATGGTTATGCAACATGTTACTGTCACCTCTATCACATCAGCAGCAATCTACACTGCTAATGCCAAACATAGGATATGTGTATTAAAGGAGGACATATTATGCTACATTTTAGGTTCATATTTGCTTTAATGTTCAAAATTCCCTTTATTTTTCTCATACTACCTGTGTTGCAGCACCTATTTTCACCCTCTGTCTGAAACCAGAGTCCAGTCTGCTCTGATTGGTTAGCTGGCTGGCTCTGTTGTGATTGGTCAACCGCTTAGAGATGTTTTGCCCCTTAAGACTGTCACATACAGTGTTGTGGCGCTAGCCCAGAGAAGCGTGAGTGTTACGTAGTTATGTCACTATGTTACAGAAATAAACAAAGGAGTAATAGGGCCTCTTTAATAACAAACCGTCAAAATCTTACTGTTCAAAAGTAACCGTATCTGACCCCACAGATCATAAGCCCTTGCATTTTCCTAAAGCCCCGCCTCAAATCCACAGCATCAGGGCAAGTCTGGGCTCAGTCAAAGAGGTAAAATAACTCTAAAACTACACTTCCTGGGGGCTTGGTTTTCAGACTCACCCTGAAGTAATCACTGCAGGCTGCCAGGACGGCTTTGTGGGCGTGGAACTTCTGCTCACCGGCCACCAGGGTGACGTCACACAGCAAGCCATCCTTCCTCTGCTGGTTGAGAGCGGAGAGCACCAAGTCCTGGTGGGACTTTGACTGACAGAGCCTCTGTCCTGTCAGCATCTCCCCACTGCTAAACAGACAGACAGACACACACAAATAAGACATGTTAAACTGGAGTTGTAGATGAGACAAAGCTCGCTTGTGCAATAATGACTACTGCTTCTACAGCTACTCTCATTAAACACTTACTTGACAGCTTTGACCCTACAAAGGGTAAGATTTTTTCAACAAAATGTTACACTCCTTAATACGAGCTTAATGTTTGCAAAGCTTGTCATTTAAATCTCCAAATTCAAATGTAAAACGTCCTTCTCCCTTTGTTCGTTTGCAAATTGTTGTCACATGTGGAGGTAAGTTGTAAGACCCAAACGTAGAGACAAAAGGGAGGTATAAATAACTTCAGGCAATCTTTAATTAAAGTCAAGCTGATACAAAACAGTTTAACAAGAAACTAAGGGAGCAGACAATGTGGCACAGACAAGCAGCTAAAAGAAAAATAATACAAATCGGGATAGCACCAGGAACACAGGCAGGGAATTTACAGTGAACACAAGGACTACACCAGAGAAACATTGACGACAAACTGACAGAGAGCACTGGAAAAGACAAGCACACATAACTAATCACTTTGACAAGTCACAGCTGGAGAGGGCAGGCATACACACAAGGGCAGCAGGGTGATTACACACAGGTGGAAAGAGTCAGGGCGGGGCAGACAATCAGAAAAGGCAGGAAAACACTAAGGCAGAAAGTGAAACTGAAGTTACCTGTAACTCCAGCTTCTATGAGTATAGGCGTAGCCCTCTAAGCAGCCGCGGCGTTATAGATATAGGGCCCAGTGCCAGAGTGGGTGGGCCTAGGCCCAGTAGGCCCACCCACTCTGGCACTTGGCCTACCCATTCATTGATAAAAAATGATTGGGCGAAAATATAGTTTCCAACATTTTTGATCAAAATTAACAATAAAATAATAAAATAAGAGGAAACATGTGTTTCCCTTTCAAAAATTTATAAAATTAAAAGCAACATTAATTAACGTAATCAGGCCGAACTCATAGTCGAAGCGCGGGAGCAAACACATCGTAGAACGTCTCGCGGCCGCGCGCAGACGAAGGAGGACAGTGGACTGGACAGACACAAAAAATATACTGCGCTCACTAACGATGTCACAACAATCGATGTTCAGGTTTTTTTTAAAGAGTAAGAACAGAGTCGCCGCCGCTGGAACCACCACAGTCATCATCCTCACAGCAGGTGCCGCCTCAGAGAGACGAGAGTGTGTTTAATGTTGTACCCCCGCTGAGCTCAGTCCCTCTGCGGGACGTAGCACCTGTTGCAGGATAACAGAAAATAGCATCCCAGTGCCGGACCTATCAGACATAGATGACCCGGCGGCTACACAGCCAAAGCTCATAAAGTAGCCTCAGACACTTTTCGGACAAAAGAAAAGGAGCTTCGCTGGTATGACAAGTACACATTCTTGGAGTATAGCATTAGCAAGGACAGCATTTTAGAGAGAGAGGCGGGGCCGGCGGAGAAGATACATTCAGTCGCCATGGTTACAGGGACTGGAAATACATCGACTATGCTCTCAGTAAACACAAATGTCATTCTAGGCATAGCCTATTTTTATTAGATTATTAACAAAAATCACGAGAAAACATTTGAACAGGCCCAGCCGAAATTACATTGGCCCACCCATAATTGAAATCCTGGCGCCGCGACTGCCTCTAAGGCAGTGTTTCTCAAACTTTTTCATACCAAGGACCACTTAACCAATAAAAAAACACTCGCGGACCACCTAACTCCACAAATATCCAAAAACACATCGTTTTTCTAGAACAGATTACAAATCACCTGGAAATTGTACAAACAGGTGGCAACATGTGTGACGAAGGTGTTGCGCTGGGCTATATTATGCAATTGAAAGTGAAACTTAAGCTCGCTCCATTGTAGAGATATTCCCGCGAGAGTGCGGAAAACTTATTTATTTCAAATGTGAAATGTTACCAATATACTCACGGACCACTAGGGGGCGGTCACGGACCACCAGTGGTCCGCGGACCACACTTTGAGAAGCACTGCTCTAAGGCTATCGCTATTGGGTAATCCCCTGCGCAGCACTAAAACACTTGTTGTCCACGCCCACCTGCGAGGTGGGCCTCACCCTCGGACTCACTTCCGGTATAAATAGGAAGGAGGCCCGACAATCTGCTCCCACACAAACAGCTTTTCTTCAACTATTCGTGGAGCCAGTGGGGCCCAGAACTTAGAGGGCTACGCCCATACTCATAGAAGCTGGAGTTACAGTAGGTAACTTCAGTTCTATTTCGTATATGGCTTCGCCCTGTAAGGCTATCACTATTGGGTTAAGGGCGAAGCAAGATGTAGTCTGCGCCCCACAGGGTCCACCCGGTACCAGAAGCACAGACACACCTACTCAGATAATAACCCATGCCTATTGCGCCATGCGAGTGGCGCATCACAGTCCCTGGAATATAGCATAACATGAATATTCTCCATGAGGGGACGAAGGCTGGGAACAATACAAACCTGCCGCTGTGAAAAAGTAGAGACGAAGGTCACACTTTGTCCAGCGATAACAAAAGGGGGAACAAGGGCAGCTCTCTGCATGCAGACAGGCAGGAGAGGGCGCACAGCTGGATTCCTGACATCACTCACTCTGACAAAACGCTTCGTACAAAGTGTGTCAGAGAGGGAAAAAAGTTAACATCCCTCTCATAAGAGGGAAAAAGGGCCGCTCTCTGCGTGCCGAGAAGCAGGCGAGAGGCGCACAGCTGGATCCCTCTCATGTTGGCCTGCTTCACCCCAAAAAACGCTGTCAGGTTCGGCTCCAGAGGAGGGGTGGCCGGAAACCCAACATCTGTGAACCCCTCCACCTTGGTGAGGGGAACAAATGTGGCCACCGGAGCCTTCAGGGTCCTGGGGTTCGCCGCCGCCCCTTCCTGGTACCTCCGGATGGCCGGGAAGCGCGGCCAGATCGGGTCACTCCTGACGCTGTGGTGATGGAAAAGCGCGTGTTCGGTGTGTTCGGTTGCCAGGCTGGCACCCGGCTCCGACTCTGTCTCCTCCGTCCGGAGGAGAGGAGGGAGGGGAGAACCGAACGGTGAACCGTGGAGGGAGACGGGGTAGGAGTCGTCCGACTCCTGCCCGGCACTCGGCTCCCGGAACACGAGGGCCTGGTCCGCGGCCTCGTAGGCCTGGATGGGCCAATCGTCCTTCTCGGCTGCAGCAGCGAGAGCGTCCGCTCTGCGCTTCCCGTCGGCCGGAGGGAGACGGACACAGTGGGCACACGACACCTGCTGGTTTAGAGCCGCGTACGCGTGCTCCGACTCCAGGCAGGATTTGCATATTGGGTGCCGGTCATAACTCATGATGTACCCAGCATGACATGAAGGGCAACTTCTGACACAACCCTGTGTACTCGTGTCGAATGCTTAGTGTCTCTCCTGCTTCAGATTGTCGGGCCTCCTTCCTATTTATACCGGAAGTAAGTCAGAGGGTGGGGCCCACCTCGCAGGTGTTTCAGTGCTGCGCGGGTGCACAGGGGATTACCCAATAGCGAAAGCCTTAGAGGGCGAAGCCTACAAGAAATAGAACAGGACAGAGGAATAAACATAATAAAACACAAAAATACCACGATCATGAAAATTGGACTGCAAAGATATGCCCCTGCGCGTGTTCGGTGTGTTCGGTTGCCAGGCTGGCACCCGGCTCCGACTCTGTCTCCTCCGTCCGGAGGAGAGGAGGGAGTGGAGAACCGAACGGTGAACTGTGGAGGGAGACGGGGTAGGAGTCGTCTGACTCCTGCCCGGCACTCGGCTCCCGGAACACGAGGGCCTGGTCCGCGGCCTCGTAGGCCTGGATGGGCCAATCGTCCTCCTCGGCTCCTCGTGTCTCCTCCGTCTTACGATGTTATTTTATATATAGACACACATATCCCCCGGGAACACAGGGATGATCACCTCTAGTCTTCTTAAGAAATCCGTCGTATAGTCCTAACTTCAATGTAACTCTAATATCTTTATGACAGAGCAGCATTTTTGGAAATGAGTCTCAGACTGACAAAGAACACTTTCTGCACATTAGTGTATGTCTTACAGTTCTCAAGTTCGATTCTGTATAGTGGATGAGACACATTACAGAGTAAAGGACTGACTGATTGTGCAAAGGTAGTTTTTTTCAAACCCCATCCTCTGTCCCACCCAGATTCCTCCCATTCATCAACAGCATGGCACCCTCTCTACCCACATATCTCTCTGTCCCCTTACACTTGCGACGTCGCTCTAAAGGCTGCTGTCTGCCAGGAGGCTGGCTCTGTCACCTTCATGGGGATGCTGCCTAACACACAGGAAATAATGGGTGTGTGAGGGTGGATGTGTGTTCATACTATGTGCCACCAGAGGTAGGATGAATGATGAGTCAGGCTGTCTGTTTGATATTTGGACTCTGCCGGAGGGAAGAGTCGAGGGAGAAAAAAGACAGAAAATGCTGTGCTGGATGAGAAGGAAGGGAAATTACCGGATTGAGCAACTCAGGGACAGAGAAGCCGTACGGGGGATTGGAGGTGTGATGGGTGGAAGCCTTTGATGCCTTGATGATAGTGACTACACAAAAAAGATGAAACGATCATCTTATAACTTTGATCATTCTGAAGCTGTTGATGTAACGTGCACATTAAAGGTCCCATGTCATGCTTTTCCGGTTATTACCCGTCCCCTTGTGTGTTATGTAGCTTTTTCTGCATGTAAACGGTCTGCAGAGTCACAAACCCTCAAAGTACACCCTGTAGCGAGTACAACTCTAACACAGAAAAGACCTGTCTATGCTGCCCCAGAACGCCTCGTTGGATATTTTTCTTTTTCGATTTTTTTCTTCCTGAGTATAGGGACGTAAGCATACCCAGGTGCAAATGGACCAATCCTCGGAGCTCCTCACACGCACACACTCACTCAGCCTTATCTTTTCTCAGCCGTGGCTCCATGGATCTCCACTCACAGTTCGCCAAACACTCACGTCACGTGTGTGTGCTCAGGCTGAGTTCCGCGGT